CTCTGATATAACCACTGAGGATACAACATCAACGCCATCAAGCTCGTCCGCTTCAAGCCCAGCGTCAACAACCTCTGATATAACCACAAAAGGTACAACATCAACACCATCAAGTTCGTCGTCTTCAACACTATCGTCAACTACCTCTGATATAACCACTGAGGGTACAACATCAACGCCATCAAGTTCGTCGTCTTCAATCCCATCGTCCACGACGTCTGATATAACCACTGAATCCACATCTACCAYATTAAGTGGCTCAGCGACTGGGCCTTCTGGTACTACATGCAACAATAAAGGAGTATGTGAAAATCAGCCTGATGGCGCCATGTTTCCTGATTCTGGATCAAATGGTTACATAGTTTGTCAGTGTGAATGTGGAATCCAAAGGCCATGCCCTTTGGGCTTAGTTTTTAATTCAATACTTAATGTTTGCGATTGGCCAAGTTCTGCCTAATGTTCCTCTGTCCTAAACAAGCAGCATTACAGAACGATGATTATATTAACAGATTAAAGCTATAACTCTGATATTGCCCAACATTTATTAAACAGAATTTATTTAAAAATGGCTCATAATTTTTTTTTAAATCGCGAAAATAACGAGAATTAGCGAAATGATACAATGTATTAAAAAGGAATTACATAAAAAATTTAAAAACGTTAAATAATTACCCTTTTCGCAATTTTCGCCAAGAAGATGCTAAATTATTAAAAGGCATTGTGTCAATGCAGATATTATTAATAAGTTGCAAAAAACAATCGACATTATGATATCAATCTTTGATGCTGCTCGTTGCAATCTCGATAAGGTTCGATAAAGTAATGTTTGCCATTGTATATACATATGTACATACCAGAATATACGCCATACACGCATCCTAGTTGTTTGCAATTACAAACAACTCTAATTTAATTAGATTTAAACAATATTTTCCGACCAGTATATAAATGGAATTTGGCCCTATATGAAGCAATAAAGGTTCGTCTTCTGACAAGGAAGTATATTCTGCTGAACTAAATTTAATATATAAGGATGTTAAGAGGTTTGTTTAATATTGCTCTACTTATGAGTTTTCCTTAAAAGTGACCGGATTGTTATTGCAGTGATAACGCTAGCTATTTTTGTGCTAGCTGCCGAAGGAGATAATGTGAAAGAAACGCGATGTATCAAAGAGGTGATAGGTAAAAGGTTAGCTCACCAAACCGATTGTTCTAAATTTGTGCAATGTATTAATACATCATTCGGACGTGTTCAGAATTGTCCTAGTGGATTAGCATTTAATGCTCAAGATGAAATATGTGATTACCCATCACGCGCTGGTTGCTCGAAAGAAAGGTCTTCCTTTTTAAAAACCACTTGCGAATGTGACTGCAGTGTGTGTTGTGCAGGATGTAATTCAGATATCACTCCAACAGCACCTACTATAAGTCCTTCTACAACCTCAACGCCTTGCAATACTCCAATTCAATTATCCTCGCAAACTCATTCAAATCARATTACTCTGGAACCAACGTCAAATCCAAACCCATCACCGACCCCTACTGAAACGCTAGTACCAACAATAACAACTTGCGATATATCAAGTCCAACTCAATCATCATCGCAAACTCCATCGACTACGGAGCCAACATCAAATCCTAATTCATCACTGACCCCTGTTCAAACGATAACACCAGCACCAATATTTTGCGATACAACAACTTCAACGCAATCACCATCTCAAACTCTATCGACACCGGAACCAACGTCTAATCCAAAGCCATCACCAAACTCTTCTCAAACGATAACTCCAACGCCAAAAGCTTGTGATACATTAAGACCAACTCAAACACCATCGCAAACTGCATCGACTGCGGAACCAACGTCAAATCCAAACCCATCACCGACCTATTCTCAAACGATAACTCCAACCCCAATAGTTTGCGATACATCAAGTCCAACTCAATCACCATCGCAAACTCCATCGACTTTGGAAACAACGTCAAATCCAAGCCCATCACCAACATCAACAACTTGCGTTACATCAAGTCCAAATCAATCACCATCGCAAACTCTATTGAATTCAATTAGACCTGAACCAACATCTAATCCAAACCCATCACCGACTCCTTCTCAAACGATAACATCAATAGCTTGCGAAACATCAAGTCCAACTCAATCACCATCGCAAACCCCATCGACTCCGGAACCAACGTCGAATCCTAATTCATCACTATCTCCAACTGAAACGTTAACACCAACATCAATAGCTTGGGATACAACAAGTCCAACTCCATTAACTCCGGAACCGACTTCAAATCCTAACTCATCACCATCTCCAACTGAAACCTTCACACCAACACCAACAGCTTGGGATACAACGACTCCGAAACCAACTTCAACTCCTAATTCATCACCATC